AACTGAGCTCTAACATTGCGTGCCTCTGGTCCAGCGCTGCACAGAAAAGTACCACTGGGCCTACAGAGATCCCACTTGTCTGCATCTAGGGCTGCTCGATCTAATCAACGATCGATGGTCCTAGGTGCAGGCCCAAGTACTGGACTATCTGTCTGGGCCCAATATCGGGGAGCCTGGGTCCTTACCGGAAATCCAGGCCTACCTGCTGATGCAGTGGGTGCCTGGAGGCTGGCCCAGAAAAGACAAGGGTTGGAGCAGGTGCTACCGGATGAACAAAGGTCGAGCAAATGACGACAAAAGTCTCCTGGGGAAGAACGGCCAAAAGGTGTGAACCCGCCTGCCAGTGGTCCGAACAGGAATCTTTGTCTGTTTGGATGTGAGACCTCTGGAACGACAAAATTGGGAACAGACAAAAATCTGAGAAACAAAGCACAGCCCAGGAGAAATGACAGACCATACAAAATAGGTGGTTGGCCCGTTCTGGTTAATCTTGGCAGGATAAGGGGGTGGTCCTGTCACCTTGCAATAGGGGTAATGAGCCTGGGTACTACTCCCCGCACAGAGTAGAGCGGGACTTAACCTGGAGGGACTTGGCTCAACCCTGCGGGGGCTTGGGGAGATGGGACTTGGCTCAACCCTGCGGGCACTTGGCTCAACCCTGCTGCTCAGAGGTCCTTCAGCCAAACGGAAGGAAGCGTGTGGTGTCATTTTTGTATCTCCAACGTGCCCATGTAATAGGAACCGGACTGATGCTCCCCAGAAAAAAGGGGAAAAAAGACTCGAAAACAGAGTTCGGATGTCATCATTTTGACCAAAACCTGGAGGTCATGATGATTCCACTGCAATTGAAGCAGCTGGGTGGAAAGGCGACTAGGTAATATGCAAAGCCCTCTACCTACAAAGCCACTGTGGTCGTGAGAGAGTAGGTAGCTATTTATCAGACCCAGAGAGAGGTAACAGTGACAGAGGGGAAGGAAAGAATGGTCATTCGCCCAAGCCTGGATATACAACATCCAGACCTCTAGCTAGTGGAACAAGGATGGTTTGCACAGACATTGACAAGTAAAGCAGAAAAAAATATTTATTACATGTTCAAGTGCAAAGTGAAAACAGATCACAAACTCAAGATCAAAGAAATATACCATAGTTGCGGCGCACCTCCGTGCACGGATTTGCGCACGTGCACGCGCACCATGCGCACCGCACTGGAAAAATTAAGGTCCAACGAAAAAAGAAAAAAAAACTAGGGGTTTCGTAATTTCCTACGACCCCCTCCAAGCAAGAAATGTTCAACTCGCCTCGCGAGTTTGGAAACTGTCCGCGCCCTTGGATCAAAAAAAAAAATTTGGGCAAGGGCTGCCGAATTATGAATTCTGCAGGCCCCTCCCCCAGAAATTTCAAAATCATGGATTATGAAAATAGGGCTCATTGAGCCTCATTCCAGTTTTCTTTTTTAGGTGGGGTGTGGTAACTGGACTTCCCCTTCCATTCTGCAAATCCCACACAGTGGTGGGCGAATTTGCAAGAAGGGTATAATTGCCTTGTAGTGCCATGCCCCACACTGTCTCTCAGGAGGCACGCTCCAGCCGACCACCAATATACGCTGAAGATTGGCATTCGGATCTGCATGTCGGCAGTTATGGGTTAGGATGAAGATGCTTGTAGATCTCTCGTTTTTCTCTTTTTGTTTTCTTCTGAATACGTACAGTCGCCCAAGGGGCCTCTCGCCACTACTCACCACATGCACAAAAGACATACCATATGACGGTGTATGGTTCCATGTTTTCGTAGAAGATTCATTCCAATGTTATACATTTGGCGAGTACCACTGAATGGTGGAGCTAGGCCCTTGTATGGTTCCATGTTTTAGATGAAGATTCATTCCAATGTTATACATTTGGCGAGTACCACTGAATGGTGGAGCTAGGCCCTGAGAACCACCTGGAGACACGAACAGGGTCTAGCTGAATTGGTGACCCATAACTCCCGAGCTACGGACCTGAACTCGCACCCACAGAATATATTGGTGGTCTGCTCCCATCTCTCCCATATATGACGCGGCCATCCTGCTTGCTGAAGCGACGGTATTTAATCCCTCCACAATGCCCACAATGTCCAAGTGCATTGTCGCAGCCATTTGAGTTACCAGCAGGGGGCCCTGAATTGATGTAAAGGGGGCCCATTGGTCTCTGTCTCTCTCTCTCTCTCTCTCTCTCTCTCTCTCTCTCTCTCTCTCTCTCTCTCTCTCTCTCTTTGGCACAAATAAATGTTTTGTCAGTTCTTTTCTTTCCTTTTCTTTTTTTTCCACGCACCTGACGCACCACCCACAGCGCGCGCACCGGGCACCACAGCGCACAGTGGGCCCGCTGGAATTCCAGAGCGCACCGCACAGCGCACAGTGCGCCCGCTGGAATTCCAGCACACAGTGCACTGCGCACCACCCCGCCCCGCGCTGCGCACTGGTGTGCCGCAACTATGAAATAGACCCTTTCCCAACACATCAGCTATAGGTACAATGCCAAACTGGGCATAGTGGCATAGAATGCGAGTTTGATACCATGGCAAAACTATTGAGATATTCGAGTAGCCGACGAAATACACCACCCCCCAATAGAATGGGCCTCGTCAGGGTAGGGAGGCCTGAGAAAAGAAAAAGTGAAAAAAAGAAAAGAAAAAGTGAGGTTGACCACTGACTACTATTAGTGCTGATGCAGTGGAGGAAGGCAGGTTTGCAGGCGATGATAATGGTGGACAGAATATAGTAAAGCGAGGTGCAAGTCGTTCCTGTCGTGTGGCTGCATGGTACACATGTAACTCTTCATTTAACAAATATTATTAAAATATATAAACAGATCCTGATGGATTCAACAATGGTGACCACTGACTACTATTAGTGCTGATGCAGTGGAGGAAGGCAGGTTTGCAGGTGATGATAATGGTGGACAGAATATAGTAAAGCGAGGGGCAAGTCGTTCCTGTCTTGTGGCTGCATGGTACACACACGTAACTCTTCATTTAACAAACATATGAACAGATCCTGATGGATTCAACAATGGTGGTGGGCATCCCGCTTAAAAAAAAAAAAAAAAAAAAAAAAAAAAAAGATGCACCTTCTTTGGAGTGCATCAGAACTGCCCTTCAGGCGGACTTGCATAAGATGCAACCATTCAGGACCGCAAAAGGTGGAAGGCTTCTGGGCGAGATGGGGCCCATACCCGCAATTGATTATTTAATATCTGTGCATGGGCCATATGCAGTTCGGTCCCGCCTTGTTGCGGCACGTGCCCCAGCCCGAGGAGGAGGACGAGCCTGGGGAACATAAGAAAGGCAGTTATCCGATTTGTACAGTTGTTAGATTAGTAGTAGGTGTGATGAAACCCGGTGGACACCAGAATTAGTATAGAGGACAGGGCGGCATTAGGAGGGAGGTGGGGGGGGATAGGGGAAGGTGTAGGGGTGGACTACGGGGCCAAGGGGAGCGGGTAGTAAAGGGTGCCGAAGAAGTGCAGGGGAAATGGGATGGTGAGAGGTACGAGGGGTGGACGGGAGATACTAAAAGAAAACGTAAAAAGACAGAAAACATGAAACATTACTAACGCAGCGCCATAATCAGATAGTACCCAAGGTTTCACCAGAGGTAGCACTATGAGAAGTAGTAGTGGTGTCTGCTTTTACCAGCACCACTACCACTTCCTCTGGCTGATTTTCTCAACAAAAAAAAAAAAGGATGTCGGACTATAGAAAAGTGCAGGTCACAAGCGAAGGACTTATTACAAGGGTCAATAGGTAGCCTGGGGTTTAGGGTTCTAGCAAGGAGTGCAACAAATGCAGCCCCATAGTGCGCAGCCTACATGGATTTCACCACAGACAGTCAACCAGCAGTTCTAGAGAGAGAAGAGAATCAGACAGCTGATGAGCTGAGAGGAGCTGACTGGCTCGAACAAAAGGAGTTTCTTTCAAAGAATAGGATAATTTGTATACAAGGTTAGCAAAAGGTAGGAGGAAAATAGTGCAGGCTAACTTAGGCAGAGGTGAAGGAGGGTACATCCTTCCTGATGGAAGTAATCAATGCCGTCCTTCGGGCCTCCACACCAGAAGGGGGAGGAGCGTGAGAGTGTTCTCAATGTATTTTCTTTTGGCTAGCCGGTGGAATAGGAACCGGACTGACGCTCCCCAGAATGGAAAAGGAGCCAGAACCATAAGGTTCTGTTTTTTTTTTTTAATAAAAAATAAAATAAAAATTTTAATTTTTTTTACAAAAAAAAAACAAAAACAAAAAATGAAACATTACTAGCACAAGTGGGTGGACTGTGGCCTATCATGGCTTGTATAGATGTAGGGGGTAAGCGGAACACGATCTGGGTGAGAATAGTTAGGTAAAGATGGATCTGCAACTACAGGGGAATAGGCTGGAACAGATATTGTCATCAGACATAGGTAATGTAGGGTCTATGTGCGATGAGGGATATCAGAAACAGGTTAACACGATGCTAAGCGGCCTGAGCAACTGTTAGGAGCACCCCCCCCGCACCCCGCCTATCCGAGGGCTGCCCTACTGCCTGACTGGGTGCTGCCAGTAAGCCTCCCGACCAGTAGGGCAACCCCCCGAAAGGCTAAGGATAGGGGGAAGGTTTGCCCCAAAACAGTCCCCCCCTTGCCAGGCATCTAGGACCACAAGGGACGGGCTGGTCCTCTGTCTTGTCTGCTCTCCCCCCCTCCTCTTTTCAGATGTAAAAATGTGCTTGCCGGTGATGAGCAACCGGACTGAGCTTCCCAGAATAGAAGGGGCATTTTGCTTTGTTAAAAAAAAAAGAAAGAAAGAAAAAAAAAAAAAAAGAGTCAGTCGTAATCGAATCACCTGGAGGAACATGGAAAGTGTTCAGTAGTCCTTGATCGATTATCCATGGCACTTTGTGGGGATTCGCGGGCATACAACATGCAGCAAAATAACAAACTCAAAGATTACTATAAACTTACTATGAAGTTACAATACAACATACCGTGCTGAAAGCTCCAGAACCAAGCTTATGGATCTCTTTCAAGTTTGCTAGCTTAAGATTGACTACTTGGACTGGTGCGTGTGCTGTGATGTCGCCCAGCTCGATGTAATCCTGATTCACACAGAATGAGCAGAACTCGCAATTAGCTTGAGCATCAAACTTTCGGGTAGATCGTTACCAGCAAACTTGCACACAAACACGCCGCTTCTGAACCCCTTCTTTCCAGCTTTTGAACCCCTTTTCCCGCGTCATGGTCCATAGTGCTTCTCCACTCAGGTCAAACGCAGCCTTCGGGCTGCGAACAGATAACATCACCTTATTGCACTGCCTCCATTGCATAGTGGGGATCATTAAGAATTGTTCACTGTGATAACATCACCATAAAAATGCAAAACAAGCTTAAATAATGCATTCATGACACTTCGATCGACGATTCTTCAAGTGAACTTCCTGCCCACGTCCCTCTTTAGATAATAGTCAAGTGATTTGAAGTAAACAAACAAACAAACAAACAAACAAACAAACAAACAAACAAACAAACAAACGAGTTGTTCACTCCAGAGGTTGAAACAACCGGCATCAAGGCTCTGCTTGAATGGGGAGCTGTGGTTCATCTTTCAAATGCCCACCAGAAGCCACATCTGAGGCACCAAGCTGCTTATCATGGAATAGCGTAGGAGGAGAAACATTGGTGAAGAAGTATTTGGATTGCCCTTATGTGTTCATTGGTATTACAGGCTTTTCCAGCCACCCTTGATAAGGATGGGCAGAATGACGAATTGATTGATTGTTGTATGCTGTCTCGCCTCCCTTTCCGACCTTACAGCATAGTTCACCAACTGCAGAGCATTCTATGCTTGCGTGGTCTGACTCTTGGTTCTCTGTGAAGTTTGCGATCGATCGACAGCCAACCGCCCAGTACAACTGCCTTCATAAGTCCGTCCGGCTGGCTATGCGAGTTAACCAAAATTTTGAGGACAAACTGGTTTTCAGACACACATTCTCACTTCCAAACAGCACGTAGCCAGTGTAATGGCCTGTTGTCAGCAGCCTTCATTCAGTCCCTGTTCCGATGATTTCATTTCAGAAAGTCTGAACTGCTGTCACTCAACCACTCCGTTTGTGGTGCCGAGCATGCATTCAACCGGAGTTGGTTGATTGCTGCTGCGGCCTCGGCTTGCTGTCATCGCTGTTCCGCTGCTGCCTGTTCAGCAGCGTGGATGCGATTGGCTTCAGCTTCGGCTCAACACTTCTTTTCTTCGTCGATGGTCGCCAAGTAATTGGCCACCCTAAGCTGGAAGGCCTCGACAGTCTCACTGGGCCCCTGCCCTTGCAGACTGGGCAGACCCAGACCAGGTGCACCTTGAGCGGCTCGCCGCCAGGTGGGCTCCCTGCTCCTGCTGCTGCAGCTCCGGCCATGCCTGGTGGTGCTGGCTGCTGTCGCTTGTCGGAGGTCTGAAGGTGTCACGGAAGTTCCGCAGCGGCAGGTGCAGGTGATGAAGAGCCCTGTCGTGCAGCTATTCGCTCGCTGTGACGGAGCATAGCCTGGTCTCCGGTTTGGTGCTGACGTGGCACTCCACTGACATGGCACTCAGCTGATGTGGCACTCTGCTGATGTGGCACTCTTGCTGATGTGACACTGCTGATGTGGCACTCTTGCTGATGTGGCACTCTGCTGACGTGGCACTCTTGCTGACGTGGCACACCTTGCTGGCGCGGAACTCTTGCTGTCATGGCACTTACCCAGCCGTGGAGAACAAGACCAAGAGGTACAAAGGGAGGGAAGGAGACAGGCAGGCAAATGATGCACCCGTTGCAATCACCCTTCCTCATGTAGGTAAGACACTATTCAAAAGGGAAAAACTAATTCCCCCCAAAGGCAGGGTTGCATCCCCGCCGACCGTATTGTACCGACCGATCGGGGGCGACCGGTCGGCGGTAGCCGACGGCTCAGAAAACAGTCTTCCTCTGATTTTTTTTTTGTTCTGACTTTGGGTCTGTACTGCGCTTGCTGAGTACAGCCCAAATCTGCTGAGAAACTTTGGTTTCGGGGTG